GTAAAATTTACATAGTTTAGTGGCAGGTAGACAACTTGCCAGTCTCCTTAAAGTTTTTAGAAAAGAGGAAGGTATAATATACAGTAGTTTAGAGGCTTAGCAGCGTGCCTGCTAGCAACCTCAGTGGGTCTGCATACATGTATTATATAGTCACATATCACTTTCATTTGGCAGATTAAGAACAGCATGACAGCAGTGACAATGGCACTATCAGTGTCAATTTCATGTTCAGTCCTTTCTACATGCTACCCCATCATCAACTGATCGTTAAATACAAAGTCATTTTGATACAAGTTGTTTCAATATAAGCAGTGAATTGTGCAATTATTGCACAACAATTCCATTCACTTCAAATATGTGACCTCTCACTCAAAAATGTTCCTTACAAACAATGCACGGTATACGAACGCAGGGCAAGTGAACAGATGAGAAAGGGGTAACCAAGCGCTTCGAAATGGAATGGCTGAATGGATGACAAAACAGATGAGGCAGGGGTAGAAAAAGAGCTGTGACTATTCATGATACGTTTGTAAACAAAGTTCATAATGGGACCACTCAATAATACCTGGAGAATAACAGATCATTCTGCACAAGTGGCTGGTGAGGAAATTGTTCTGGGATGGAAACCCGAAATTTTTCTTCAAACAGATAGCTGGATCTAGCTTTTGAACGGTTGCCAATTTTTTTCGAACAGATAGCCCAAGCTGTTTGAATGGCTGGCAGTTTTTTTCAAACAGATAGCCTGAGCTGTTCCAACAGAGAGCAATTTTGTTTTGCACGGATAGCTCGAGCCACTCAAACAGCTGACAATTTTTTTCGAACAGATGGCCCAAGCCACTCAAACGGATGGCAATTTTTTTTTGCATGGACAGCCCGAACCGTTCGAACGGCTGACAATTTTTTTTGAACAGATAGCTTGAGCCATTCGAACAGATACCCAGTCTGTTTGAACAGCCGATGAGCTGCATACAGACAGCTATCGTTTAAAAATGGCAAATTGTAAGGAACGTTTTTGCATGAGATGTCACATTATAGTTTTCATGTGAACAAGGAAAAAACGTTTTGGGTGAATATTCTTCGTCCTTTAAGTCAAGTGCATAAAACTATTTACACCTTGACTGAATAACCTTGTATTGAAACGCCTTGTATCAAAACAACTTTGTAATGAAGCAACCAGTAACCTCATTCAATCATTTTACGTGTAGCAACACTCTGTTGCTAAATCACCCTATTGTTCTTCAATTGCACCACCTTAAAAATACAAGTTTCCCAATTTCAACGAAATGTGAACTTGCTGCCTGAAAACGACTTTGAATCAAAACGATCAGTAACCTCACTCATTCATTTAGCAACATTCTGTTGCTAAATCAAACTATTGTTCTTCAATTAGACCACCTTAAAAAAGCAGGTTTGAACTTGCTGCCTTTCATATTGAAAAAGTAGTTGCTTATTTACGATTGTTGTTTTCCTCGATCTAATAAGAAAAACAAAACAATCCACAACATTGTGTGTTCAATATATATAATTCTGTAAAAAGAGAATTACAATATTCAAGCACCTTAAAACCATTACAGCATTTCATATAAATTTACTACATAAATTTATGAAACTTCCGTGGTAATGAATGATGTCAAAATAAGTTCTCGCGACAAA